TGGCGCAGGTATGAGAAACCAAACCCTCTAAGAGAGATGGCGCAAGTCGGAGAAAACCAAACCCTCTACGAGAGATGGCACAACAGCGAAAACCAAACCCTCTACGAGAGATGGCGCAACGAAACCAAACCCTCTAAGAGAGATGGTGCAACTTGGAGAAACCAGTATCGGTAAGAGAACTGGAAAGCGTAGGAAGACCGAGACAAGGTAGGGGAAAATCAGATGCTCTAAAAGCACTGGAGCGGTATGAAGCGACCAGACGCTCTACGCCTGCTGGATGTCTGCATCTGGAGAAAAATCAAGATCAGCAATTGCAGAATCCCTAGATAATGCAAAATAGAGACTGTCCTTTTCCGAACTTCGTAAAGTAATCCAAGAATAAACACATCTTGTGTTAATGAAAGGGATCGTCTCGTATGTGGTGTCGAAGCGAGGAAGGCAAGCCAGATCAATCTAGCTCATGTCGAAAGTGCTGAAAAGGCTAGAGAAAAATGATCCAGATGATAAAACGTGTTGTAAAAGAAGCGGATATAGATGAAGAAGTCAAGGTGGATGAAGACCTCGAGGCTGGAGAAGAAATAGCAAAGGACGAAGTAGAGGATTTTGATGGAAGATGGGGTGGTGTGTTGAGAAGAAAATCAGTTGTGTGTGTGGGCGCAGGAGAAGAAGAGCACCTTCCACCTCTAGGGCACTACTGGGTTAAGCCCTGCACAGTGAGATGCTACATTCACAGCCAGGAACAACAGCTCAGAGACCAGGTGTTCAATTCACTGTCAATGTCCTCCTATACTGGAGCGTTCCAGAAAGCAGAGCATTATATCAAGGATCTTTCTTGGTAGCCTCTTCCGCTAAGTGACTGTTATACGGCCTTTCGATCATATATGGCTTGATATCTTCAGAAAACAACTGTGAGGAGCCAGAATGAGCATGAAGTCCGGCCATGTCTTCGATGCTATATACCATGAGAAATTATGGGCCGGCGGCCAAATTGGAGTCCCATGCGATCGAAAGTAAATCGTAGAATCAATGCAGCAGATGCATACTACCATTGGGGAGGAGGTAGAGACCATGGTCAGACCTCTTGATGGTAACTGCTGCAAGGAAAAATATGATGAATGGAGCAGTGTATATGTCTACTGTTGTGCTGAGAGAACGTTCCAATCCCTGATCATTGATACTGGGCATCGCGAATTATTGTTCCTAATCCTCCCGGATAAAATCCGTGAGCTAACGGGTGGAAGCCAAGCTTCGACACAACAGCTGAGCTCTTGGGATGATCAGCAGCTAGTTGATGAGATGCCTGAAGACCCAAAAGACGATGATCTCGACTCCGGGGCATACTGATCTCAAGGCTGTGGCCGGCATGGGCTCTTCAGATGCTCAGTGGAAAATGAAAGACCTTCCAATAATAGAAAGCAGATGTGACAGTATCTTGTATTGAAATTGCTTTTGAGATGCATTAAGCGATGGCCTGCTCCTATTCATCTTCTCTTGAAGCGGTTGTCAATGGAGCATCTAGGATGAGACTCGCCTTGGTCAGTAAGTGAAACGGATGGCAGTCAAGAAAACGTCCCAAATGAGCTGTGATCGTCGAACAATTAGATACGGGACATTGAACAAATCATTCATTCTTGAGTGACGGCAGATCACATACTCGTCAGATGGGGCGAGGGCGAACTTTGTTGCAAAAGCCGAGCTTGCGAAACCCTCAGAAACCACTTCGAGGTACGATATATGACCAAAATCCTCTTACTCTCCAGGAATCGGAAAGTACACTCTTGGAAGACACTTCTGATACTGCAAAGATACGACGCTGATTGATATTGGGTTATCTGGGTCAATGTGAGCAGCTTGTTGAGACATGTACATGCTAATAGCTTCATACCTTCCTAACTAGGGAACAGAGGAGCGCAGGGGCTCTAATCAATTATTATGTATTATCTGCACCACAGCGCATCACCCATTTCAGTTCTCCATGCATCTAAGAACCAGGCTCAAAGGCATATAAAATAAAAGAAATATTTCTGTATACCTAAAGGATGGGTTAAGATATCACTTATTATCCCACTTGTACTGCCTTCTTCTGTGATCTAGCCCTCTCTTTCTCTTGTGAATGTTCTGCTTCCTATCTTGACTACTCACCAGGTGCATGCCTCCATAGTGAATCTCTAGCAATGGTAATTGATGATTCCAAGCTCTTCCCAAGTGACATATCTTGCTATTCAAGGCTTGGAAATGATGCTGTATTCACTTGATCTTGATACTGAGGTCTCTTCATCTTCACAATCTTCTTTCTTAGCTTCTCCTTAGCTTCTCCTTAGCCGAGACCATGGCATCTATAAAGCCAGCCTTATTCTCTTGAAGTCAGTTAACTTTCTCTCAGCATATCCATCTTTCTCTTTCAACCGCCTTTGCATGCTTGATACGGATAAGTCCAACAATAGAGTGAAGAAGACTTACTCTCTTCTTTTGATTGCTGGGCACCATTGATCAGTTAGTTCATACGGACACTTCTTCAGAATACATCAGTGAAATGTCCTTAGGCAAAGCAGAGTTAGCCGCAAGCGACAACATTCGACTCCTCTTACTTCCACTTTCTCCAAGCGTCCCCGTCACGCTTTCGACTGGAAGGAGTTGCTTTGGCCTGTTGACCGGAAGAAGCGGGGGGACATGAGCTATTCTCTATCAAACATCATCCCAGCCCACACACGATAAAATCTTCCACTCTGCCTCCTGCTTGTGTTCTCCTCCTCTCCTCCTCGTGACCTCTTCATGCTTCGAGATCTGCACTTTGCCCCAACAAGCCTCTTCTTTTTACATTTCCTTCCTCTGCTCCCAGAATCGTGGCTCGAAAACTCTTCTGTGTCGGTCTTTCCGCGCAAGTATCCCGACTTTCTAGTGCAAAACGTCCAGAGCATCTAACGGAGGACTTTGCAGCGGCTCTTGTGGAGAGTCCGGTTTTCCCTCCTTTTTTCTATGGTGCAGCTTGCCAGCGTAGTTGGTAAGTATGAAACCCAGTTTAGACAGGTTACGCTGAGAGCGGCCGGCCCTCGTAGAGGGTCTTGTTTGCGACAGTTGGACGCACAAGGTGAGTAGCTCCGTCTCTCGTTTCTCATATGCATGGCTGATGCGTCGATAGCCCGGCTCTCGTAGAGGGTTCGGTTTTCCTGAATTTTCACCTTGGTAAGTTTAACCGATCAAAGCTTTGAAAACCCTGACTGACGAACATTTAGCTGTCTCTCTTAGAGGGTTCAGTTTTTCTCTACCTTTACCTTTGTAAGCTGCCCTGATTGATGCATGTTGGCTGCTGACTGACGTTTTTCTAGTGCCGTCTGTCTTAGAGGGTACGGTTTTCCTCGATTTCTCGAATCGTACTCCTACTGGACTCAGCGGTAAGCAGCTATTCGGGCGTGTCCTGTAAAGCGTGTAGCTCACTTTGATTAGCGAGCCGTCAATACTCGAAACTCCCAAATCGATCGACAGCCGAACTTTAGTCATATGACTCATATCCACCTCGGTAAGCTTTGATGTCAATCCCATTATCAACGCCAGGCGTTCTAACCTTGAATACCACCGGTAGATTTTCATCAAGCCGCAATAATGGCGAACACCTCGATTTACAACGAGAACTGGTTCAAGGAGCCACAAGGCAAAGACTATCCCTCGCTCTACAAGGATTGTGGAAAATGGCGCATTTGCCGCATTGCTAGCGCCAAGGGTTGGCTCGAAGCCAAAGTCCAAATCGTACTCGACTCTCAGCAACCCTGAATTGTCCTTCGCACGACAACACAAGAAAACGGATGGCGTTTAGTTATCCCGCTTCAAAACTGCTCTCTGAATGCGGGAATCGAGGGTGCAACACGCGATGACAAAAGGGAGGAGGAGATCCGACAATTAAGGCAGCAATTGCCCGAATGCATCCAAGATTGGCCTCAGGTGTATTACTTTAGCATCTTGTGCCATACCGATCCCATAATTGTGAGAACAGCGGGATTACGGTATCGCAACGACGACCCTGACTGGAACAGACTCGAGAGCTTCCCCTGGGCGACAGAAAAAGCAGAAGGTGTTTTCATTTTCCAGAAATTCGACCCGAACTTCAAAACTGTGCCAGACACAATTCAATGGCTGACAGTGCTGGGTGGCCTCGCAACTGCAAAAGCATTCTGGCGGTATCGACGAAACCGTACGGACGGAGATGGCCGCAGTCCACCAATGCCATGGCTCATCACAAAAGACCAGGATCCTTCAAAGAGGAAATATACTCGGATGGATCCTCATGATGCATTCTTCATCGATGACCACGACCGACCGTGCAGGTTGATCGAGGCGTCCAGGATAGAGAAAGATAGTCAGTAGCAGTTGGTCGCCAAAGTCTTTAATCCGTCTCGCCGTCACCGAGCTTGGTACACTCCAGCGCAAACAGAGACATTGCAACACAGTTTCTTTGTCCACATCAAGCTGCAAGCGGAAGATGGTGAAACCGAAGTGAACGTGCCTCAGCTGGCTGAGATGACTGAGGTTCAATTCGAGATAGCTGCGGAGCGACGGACATACCTGAAGATCGATCTCAACCAGAAAGGGGTTGTTGTTGAGGCACACAGCCCTGGTGATCTTGTTCTTCTCGTGAAGAGCCCCATTCCCCAGCATGGTGGTGAAGTTGAGATTGTCACCTTCGTCAAGCCAAACACCATGCCAATTGATGAGCAGATCAAGGCGCTTGGGGACGTGAGCTTATGCAGTTTCGGGGGAGAGCTGAAAGGTAAAGAAAAGCAGGGATATTTGCTGAAAAGGACCGTGCTCGCCCATGGTGTTGAATTGGACCCTGCCAGCAATTTCTATTTTCTTCTTGATACTTGGGAAATGTTAGAGGTTCCTCCAGAGCAGCAAGACGAGAGGATCTCCTATATTATGGAAAACTTTCCCCTGGATAAGGTTCAGCATCAAGCATTCTTAAAGTCAACGTTTGAGGTCACCTGCGGCATCAACCTTGTACCAGGGCCACCTGGAACAGGAAAAACAAGGACTGCCATAGTCATCATCCTCTTGCTTATGGCATTGGACCTGAAAGTTCTGCTTGCCGCTGGATCAAACAAGGGTGTCGACAATCTCGCGGAGGCTGTTGTTACGTCTTTGAATAAACATCCTCGGCTTCGGCAGTGGTGCGGCCAGTTTATTCGCTTCCGAACACCGTCCTATCAGCTTGCACGAGTCAGAATTGACAGGGCAAACTCCAATCAAGTCGGACTGGGTGCATCAAGAAAAGGAAGCTCGGCAAGCCAGATCCTCGAGCCAGTGCAGATTCACAATGTCGTCCAGCGCTTCGCCGAGGACCACGCAGAGTCGACGAGTGACTGTGGGGACTTCCTTGATATGATCAGGAAGGATAAGGAGTGCCATCTGAGCAAAGATCAGTCAAAGAAGCTGCGCAACTCCTATGAGTCCTGCGCCTTGAGCGTCCTCGCGAATTGCAAAGTCGTGGCTACTACTTTGAGCAGCGCTTCCCAGAAACTGCTGCGCGACTCGGACTTCAACCCCGATTTTGTGATCAGCGACGAGGCCGGGCAGTGCCTCGAGGGTGAACACTGCATCGCCTTGACGATGTCGTCGGTCAAAGCGGTGGTTCTGATCGGAGATCCGGATCAGGTGCCGCCAACAGTAATTTCGGAAAATGACTGCACCTTATCTCAAACGGTCCCTGATGACACGACTTCATGAAGAGGGATATCCATGCACGATGCTCAATACGAACTATCGGAATCACAGCGCAATTCTCGATTTGTGGAACCAGAATGTGTATGGCGGTGCTTTGCAAGTCGGACGCTCCAACGACGCTCCGGACCGTGTAGGCAATGCATGGGATGCGTTCACCTCGTCACGGCACTACTTTCGGGGATTAGGTGTCGCAGGTCTTCGTCGTCTGTTCATAAGTACAGAAGGTCATGCTGATCGCCATCAGAACAGCCTGTCATCGTATAACCGGCCACAGGTGGAAGTTCTGCGCCATGTCTTGTCTCGCTGTACCAGTTCGAGAGGCCTCAAGGAGATAAGATTGAGCCCAAGGACGTCATGATCATCAGTCCATATAGGGACCAGAGGGCACTGGTGGACGAAGTTCTTGGAGAGCACAACATTGGCTTCAATGAGAATGTGACTGTCGATGCGGCCCAATGATCCGAGTCTCCCGTTGTGGTCGTCCTGATGACGAAACCGTCTGAGGATGTCTTGAGCGTTGGATTTGTCGGAAACAGAAACCGACTTAATGTCGCCCTCAGCCGGGCGCAAAAAGGTCTGATCATCATTGGAAACTTGAGGACCTGGAATTCTGAAGCGATAAAGGAGATAGTTAAATCCAGCGGCAAGCGGAACAAGTTCCTCTTGGATCTGCTCAGGGACGTCACTCAGAAGGGTCATACCCTGACCTGGCACGGCGCACCTACTGTAGAAGAACTCGATCCTTCCCCCCAGACAGTCTACTTTTCGCATGATCGAGAGATCCGGCGTCCGTACACGAGAGCAGCGGATCCGGCTGTTGCAGCCACGGCAGGGGTACAATCGCAAACGGCCACCCTTTCGGTCCCCAGAGCACGGGTCCCGTTTCCAGGGCGCTTCGTACAGACAAGCGCTTCAGCAGGCGCCGCCAAAGCGACCGCTGCCTTGGTTGTCTGCAGCGCCGCAACAAGATGAGGGAGTGGCCGCTGACGAAGACGTGGAAATGGTGGACTTCCAGGACCAAGGGACCCCATACCCCGGATCAAAGTCTCGCGAAATGTCGAGTTCGCCCTCCAACCATATCGGGACCAAATGAGGAACAGACTGAGATCATTCTTGGAATAGCTCTTGCCGCCGCACGACCTCTGTCTCTCACGAGATGTACATGGCGTCACATAGCCCTACAAGAGCAGAAGCAGTTCGTGTCACACGCGAATGATCGTGCTCCCCGGAGCAACTATCCCTCGGGCGTGGATACAGGGATCGCCGTAGCCCTCGGCGGGCTGTTACAATAACAGCAGCGCCTTATACGAGGGGGCGATGTCCAAAGCACTCGAATGTCAATGTGATGCGCCTCCAGGAGCTGACTGCCCGCGAAGAGCGTTTTCGAGCCGAGGAGGAAAGCGCGGCCACAAAAGGATGCCATCTTGAGGAGAGGCTCTGTCGGGCCCGCGAAAGACGTAGACATAGGCGATAGATGTATGTTGTTTCAGTTATTCAATAATAAGACTGCGTTCCTCTAAATAAACGGGATTTTTCGATTCCAACCTTGACTGGACTGCTGCCATCCATGTACGGAGACGTGGCGACGCCTTGTTGGACCTCATAAATGCGTTCGACAATATTGAACAGGCGCACCGTTCTCATCACAGATTACCAGCAATAAGAAGACGCATACATTGATGGGTCGTGCTGCGTACGCTTTGAGGCTTCTTTATTCATGTTTAGTGGACTGCGCAGTATGACCAGTTCATGGTAGGATGGAGCCAAACTGTGATGACGACTAGGATGTGAGATAGGAATGTTGTGTTTGTGTTTCAGATGCCTCAGGCTTTCTGCTCATCTAAGCAGATCTAGCAAAAGTTTTCCATGCCTTTATGCACTGCTTTACCTGCCACAGGAGCAGAAGTAGATTAGCCAAAGAGCAAATTAGCTTTACTCTATTAGATTTAGTCCCTGATACAGCGGTTGCTACTTGATAACGCCGCAGCCTTCAGAGATGGTTTACTGTATTAAGCATTAGAGATGTTAAAAAAGTTCAGAATCTGAACTTGTTGGAATATCGAATGCTAGTATAGTAGGCATATTGAAGTCTAGGCATATTGCATACTAGCACACTAAGTGTCCAACAAGTCGGCCGGCTACTTGCTCTGTGTGAAGGAGCTCAGGATACGGAATATCATCGTAGCCATATACCGAGAATAATAAAGGTGGGAAATAGCTGAAGGATATTGGAGGTCCGTTAAGCAACTTAGAATGGGAGGTTGACCAGATGATAAGCTAGGAATGCTTGCATCCATGCCTTCGTGGCTGATCTCGATTCTCTCCAGGTTGACCGGCTGTACAAGCTCAAGACACTCTACAATATTCTCGATGTAGGATCACAAGTGCCAATGCACACTCTCGAACCAATGTTGCCAAATATGACGTTAATAGAGCGTGGAGAGTGGATCTATTCAAAACATTTCATGCAAACACTGCACAAATCACCACGAGAGTTGACTGCACAGCTGCAGATAGGGATGCAGAACAACGTGTCCAAGTAATATTACTATCCGACTGACAGGCGTATCCAGCATGTCAGGAAGCTAATAGATCCACAAATAATGGGATGTTCTGAATTCCTCCAATAATTTTATAGCCTCTCAAGAGACCCCTAGGCATATCAATCTTGTTACCAGCGGTGCCACATCAAAGGTGGTTGACTGTCTTCACAGCGCTGTAGGTGTTCAGATTTAGACGGAAAGCAAGCAAATCTACTAAGCAATGAACAAATGATTAGACTCAGTTTCAGCAAAAGCAGATAAATGTGATGGGGGAGCTGCAAAATGTATGATAATGATACTTAGAGGGTTATTTGATTATGAACACAAAGATCAGCTTTTGGCTTTCTGATGAAATTTGAAGACCAAGGATAGACTTTTTCCTAAATAGTAGTTTGTTACTACCTTGTCGGATGTGACTATGAGACTCTATGGACAAGTTCGAATCGATGGTTTCTTGGACCTCTTTTAATTTTAGGGATCATTAATTGACGTCCAGTTGGTCTTCCTGGAATACGGTTGCTGACAGACGACTTGAAGTTCTCTAGATCATTTCAGTAAATTCTTTATCAGGCTAGGGTTTTGTGAAGTAGAAGCTCGAGTTCAACCTCTTCACCTTCTTTAGCACATGACCTACCGTACATTCTTGACATTCCAATAAGTGCCGGAAAATTTTTCTGCATTACAGGACATGTAGCAGGTTTGCAATCATTCTTGTCATCTAAATGATTTTCTAGTAGTTATGGTAATCCCTATGTCCGAGGACCATACTTGCTGGCGAGCAATCCAAGCAGTAGTATGATGCGCATCCCTACACGAAGGATGTGATTGGTTTAAATATCCTACTTCGGGATACCGAGAATGAGTGCTGCTCAGATATTGTACTCAGTTATCATCCACTCGCAATGCATTTACTCGTCGTATTCCTTGATACTCGTCTTAGTACGTTCTTCACTCTACAGTACATATGTGCCTCCCGGCCGGTCAAGCACACAACGCAAGTTTCTTCACAGTTACCATAGACTCGCGCCGCAAAGCTGTCAGCCAGCGGGGACGACCCAGTAGACGTGATCTACAACAGTGACTTCTGTTAGCAAATGGGTAGAAGCGCTTTCTGTGACAGAGTCCTATGTTAAATGTTCATAATCAAACATAATTTATGTTAGCCATTGTCGATTGTAGACCATGACTCTTGTGCTCTAGCATGGTGGTAGAAAATTTATGCCATGTTACATCGTGCGGCAGAGATTGCAACATAAGACACAGGCAATCGACAGTATAGATGAATATAATCCGCTGAAGCATAAGCATTGATAGCAGTACCAATCTGGACATGATTCTAGCTCTGTCCCGGCGGATACTGTAGGGTGCGGTGTTAGTTTCATAGACATGCGCTCCACTACCAAGAGCTTAAATTATTGCATCAGCTGCAATTAGCTGAGGGCGGTTGAAATTGGCTATTACATGAAGCATGAAATATACTTAGTAATATACAGTGTCAAAGCACATATTCATGGAATCTACTTATTTAATAATCTGTACATGGTTATTTAACTACTTTACTGCAGCTAATAAATCTTCCTTAGTACAGTGTTGTGTTGCGTTGAAATAGTGGTTTTATATATAACTTATAATGGTAATGTACACACAGCTTACTGTTTCTTTCCTCACACTGATGTAATGCTAAGGTCACCTCATATTTCTGTTATTTGCTGCACACACTTCAGATCAGAAGTCATTTGACACCTAGACTACTCTGTACCTAGTGATGTCTATTTGGGTGGGGAATAAGTTCACTCAAAAACGGCTCGGTCCGACCCCTATCATAATGATGCAGAGCAATAAATGCCTGTTTTGGGTGGCTAGGATTGACCTAACTAAACTAGCCTTACATAATTAATGATGAAGCAAGGTTGAACCCCAGGGTAGGGTGCAGGGAGTTCATATGCTCTGATAATTCAGTCTCCTTACACAAAATCGGTAGACAAAACAGACTATCTAGGACATTACTGAAACCTCTTGGTTTCTCTAGAACTAGTAGTACAGTATTTGAAGTTACTTGAATGATTCATTATCGCAACAGCGTTGTTCTTGCCAAAGGCGCCCCGCATCTTGCTAATCTGCTCAATTCGAAACACCCAACATAGTCACAGCAATGTTACATCAGATATGCTGTTCTAGCCCTCTATCCAAGTCCGCTCTGCCCTTCAAAATTCGTTCAACCTCATAATGCCCGTTATAAACAGCATAACCGAGTGCAGTGCGGCGGTAAGGATCCAGAATATCACAAGCTGCGCCTTTACCCCTCAGAAAATTCACCATATCCACCGAGCCGGAGATAGCGGCGTACTGCAATGGAGTGCATAGTCCATTTCTTTCGTTCATGAGATATTCTGGGGATCTCTCGTCAAGTAAGTTGTTGATGCGTAACTTGTTAAATTCTGGGTCTTTATCATAGATAAATTGTAGCACCTCGCGACCGTCATCTCTTGTTCGCATCGCCGCGTAGTGTAAGAGCTGCCCGTGCTGAAGTTGGCCCCCCTTTTCAAAAAGAATCTTGATAACATCAAACGGCGCGTCTCGAACGGCGTAGGAGAGCGGCGTACAGTCTCGATTACGACACCTTTTATTCGGGTCCGCGCCATGGTTAAGAAACCAATCGAGAAGATTCGAATCTTCGAAGGTATACCTAGAACAATCGTCAACCACGTTGGAAGGCAACGACTGAGCTCTCCATACTCACACTAGCGTTGATGGGACGGTATCATTGACGTCGGTGTTGATGTCCCAGCCATGAGACAAAAACAATTCCAGTACATCGTAACGCTTGATTTCTGTTGCAATAATGAAGTGTTCAACGGTCATTAAAGTGCTATCATCTAGTAATTCAGTGACTTTCGAAATATCTCCAATCTCAATAGCAAGTCTGAGCTCTTTGTATGGATTCTCCATGGTCTTTGTAGTGGGTTTGCACGAAATGTGGCGGAGACTTGCGGCTTATAAGGTAAATTAATCACGTGATTTTCTAGCTGCAATCCCTGTATGGCTTGCCGTACCTAAGGGAGGAGAAATTGAAATCTAAAAACAGTTAGGTGCTTATTGCTAGCAGAAAATATCAAAAATCTTACTCTTACATACCCACAGACCTACAGACGATTTTTCGGATTTGTCCCGATGGCTTGCCATAACCAACTACCCACCAACTACCCACCATCTACCCACCATCTACTCATACCTACCCCTCTTCCTATACCTATCGCTATTCCATAAACTAGTATATATACAGTGATACTTATCTGTAAAATCCGTAGTACAGGATTAATGACACGAACTCTACGAAGAACAAACAATGACACAACCACGTTTCTTACAGGCATTGGCGGACAGAGAGGCGGTTGAGGTGAAGATGAACGATGTTGGGTTTGTTTCTTTTATCAGCACCGGCTGCAAAGCTATTGGAACGCAGGATTTGAATGGCTGTATGGCAGTCATCATGGCATCCTCTCAGGGTGCCGTGCTGGCCCATATTTCCCCGCTACCTAGATGTACCACAGATCCAGATGCTTCAATCAACCACACTCGGGAGTTTATGGCAAAATTCGTCCGCATGTTTCATGACAATTTGGGAGGGCTAGAACTCAAGAACTCTGTTTTGGTATACGCAATGTTTCAGGGACAGGTCGGGATGCCAGATCAACGGGATTTTATCAACAGTGTTCTCTTGGAGAACGTGAACGAAGACCAATTTCCAAGAGAGTACTCCTACACTGTGCGACCGGGCGGTCATCCTGATCCGGCTAAGGGTACTGTCTTTATTGACGGTCGAGCTGGTCGTCCGAAGCTCTATGTTGAAGACATCGAAAGGGAGCTGCTCAGACCCTAGCCCGGTGAGCAGGTAATAAACCCTCTTCTCAACACGTTGCTCAAGCATATATAGGAACTAATGCAGCTAGGCCATTGTGACACTTTCTTGTTTTTGCGCGAATCTCACTGAGCTCGAGTTCTTCAAGAACCAGCGATGATGGGCTGGTCCAGTGTTAAGTTGGTAATTCCTCGTTACGACTTTCTCCAGCTAGAGGCCAACTCGACGAGGCTCTATATCTATCGCTATCCGTTGCTGTATATATGTTATTGTAATGCTCATATATCTGACATACTTTATTGTCGTCTGTATGAAGAGATCCGTAAAGCGTTAGGCTCACTGCAATACCAATTAGTCTCCAAGTCCCTTAGACCTTCAGTACTGTAGAAAGATTCTTTTGCTACCGAAATCAGTTAGACCCACGCGGTTACAATAAGAAACATTTTGTCGGAAAAATACTGTTCCATCGCCGTGTTGGGCACTCGCATTCTGGGCCCGAAAATCCGTGGAGCACAACCATTTCAGTGACGCGACACCTCACAACCCCATCCTTCTCACGTCATTAATGTCATAATATGAAGGCGAACTACGTATAATTTCTTTTTGATCGGGGTTCGAAGTTAGTTCTGTGTCATTGCAAGTTAGAGCAACTTAAATGTCGGAGGCAGTAAGTGCACCCCCTCCACCATTTCTAAAAATGATAACACTAAGTTCATAGCTACCTTCCAAACCCAGAAAGATCACTTATGCGGAGGGAGGGAGGGTCGAGTGCAGTGGATACATGCAAGCCTTCAGGCGAAACTGCGATAATTCGGTCGAAAGTATTTGGATTGTCAAATCTTCTCAGCCGGAAGTCAAGGTCCTCCCCGCAAACTCATACGTTGAAGTTTATTATGGCACAATTGTCGTCACTCAAGATCTTGATCAATGAAGTAAGTGACCCTGTCATCAGCATTCGCAATATTGACTATATCCCAGAAAATGTCACGGTCTATCGCAAATGTCAAATGGGGCCGTTCTTCCGCACTTTCGACCGAGATCGAGCATATGAGCCTCATAAAATTGTCTTCCTTCATCTTATTGAGAATGGCATGTGTAGTTTCAACACTGGGCGTGTACTCAAACTGAAAGTCTTCGGCTGGATGTCCCGCCACTCCATGTTTTGAAGCGAGTGTAACAAGACGTTCTGTCATGAGATCTTTCGTCTTTAAGCGTTCAATCAAGGCATCCCTCTTGTCTTTTCCAGCATCAGCTATCGGTCTGCATGCAAGCGCGCACGAGCACAAAAGGGCCATGTATGGGCCAAACTCCTGAATACACCTCTTTAGAAACGCAGTGTATATCTGGTGTCGTTTCTGTGTCTTTGATTTTCCCGGATATTGTTCCTGTTCCCCTCGAATATTTGAGAGATCACGTTGCCACTTCTGTATATCATCTGTTTCAAGTGCACCGGCTGCGTTCAGCCGCTTCGCACATTTTTCTATTCTCTCAAGCATCTTCTGAATCCATTCGTCCGAAATAACCGGTCTAGTCTTCTGAATTCGACCGCGAATACCGTCTCTGTCAATTCTCCGAGTTCTGAGTTTTCGAAATCGCCTCATTCCGTGGACCGGTGCTGGCATTTGGATTAAAGATTTGAAAGAAAGTCAATGGACAGTGGGTAAGCAGTGGGGAGTAACAGGTGTGCGGTGGGCAGATGGTGGGCAATAAGGGGTTACACGAAGCAATCAATTGCAAGGTGTTTTGATCACATGATGTTGGAGAGCCCCTTGGTGTAACCCCAGTTCAAATCTCCAATTCCACCAGGAATAACACAATCAGATAATACCTGCTTATGCTCAGAATTGCATCTACTAATCGCGGGTGTTCAGTGCTCAACTATCGCCCGTGTCTTTTAAGGTTTGTATAGGATAACTTCTACAGCTGATGGCGGGGGCCAAAGTCTGCTCTAATCAATATCAAGGGCTCTTTTTTCGGTACTGAACGCGTTAACTAAGTGTGAAGAGGGACGAGCACGAGTACTCCGCTATCAATCAATGGTGGGGCAATGCCTTTCCGTCGTTTGGGACTGGTTGTCAAGCATGGCGCTGACATTTACAAGGGTTTCCTAACAATTGGCGGCAAGGCGTTCTCGCAGATAATACTTGACGAAGCTAACCTCCAATAGCGACCCCTATTTTGAGGATGATCTCGATTGCCAATGGAACACATTGAGAAAAGACGTCCGCGACTAAAGGCTGCGATGAAAAGTTTGAATATCCTTGGTTTAGAGTTGAGACTTTGACAGAACGGCGTCCTTGAACTAAATGTGATGGGGGAGCTGCAAAATGTATGATAATGATACTTAGACGGTTATTTGATTGTGAACACAAAGATCAGCTTTTGGCTTTCTGATGAAATTTGAAGACGAAGGATAGAAGACTTTTTCCTAATAGTAATACGAAAAGAGTTTCCCGCTCAGAGGATGAGGATGGATGGAAGATAACTGGATGGGAAGCTGGAAGACCTCACGGAGGAGGAAGGTGAGGAAAGAAATGACCGGTCATCAACTGGACGGAGCAGGCCACTGAAACTATACATTTTATGGCAATTGTAACTCGATCTTGGGAGATACCAGACAGAGGAGGCAAGTACAGAACACGACTGCATAAAGGATTAATGCGTTGATCAAAGATTATTCGAATGCTTTCCCATAGAAAATTAGCTCTAGGCTCCTACAATGGACCGGCACCAAGTTTACCAACTGTAGAAGCAAAGTCGTAGTTCCCAGGTTGTGTAGAGCTATGAAAAGCTGCAAGGTCACCTAGATCTCCTGACTACACTGCAAACCCCGAAAGCTATTCCCCGGACCACCTGCGTTGTAAAACCCCCATCCTCTTTCTCTCCTTTTCCATCACCATATAGAAGCCCACCCGCTATCATGTTATCCATGCTATCCATGCTTTCAAGCCTGTTGCGTGATCTACCAATTCACAGGGTCCGTTAAAAGCAAGGTTTACCACAAAACTGTTCAAAGCTTCTACCAAGTACCAGAAGGTTGACCGTAGACTTGAGGCCCGGCGAGTTCACCTTCTGACTCGGTTCTCATTTCTGCGGTGGCTCGATCGGTTGGAAGTCTCCAATGGGTAACTGCAGGGTCCTGAAAGAAATAACTGCGGCGTCCGCCATGGCTGGGTTCGCAACAGCCCGAGTCGACCACTCCGTAATTTGAAAAGTAGTCTGCCTGTTTGGTAGGATCACCGGACGCATGCAATTGAAGATTGGCAATAACATTTCCCAGAAGCAGAGTCGTCTGCCATGCAGTTGTAGTCTCTGAAGTAGGGCGAGAATTACCTTGAAGCAGTGCTTCTCTCTCAACGTAGTCATAAGCCATGGATGAGACCAGCTGTCGGAGCTCACTTGCACCCCGGTTATCGGTATGAAACCAGGAATTCGCTTCCTCGAGCCTAGCTCTGTTTGGTGCCAAGGAATCGAAGAACAAGAAATCAGTAGTCTTCTGTTGTTCCAAGGGCATGGGAAGCCCCGGTGGAGGTGCGACAGCCTTGCTGTTAGCTATAAGCGGCTTATCGTAAGTGTTCTCTTGCTTGCCCTTTGCAATATCTCCCTTATGAACAAGATGATGATTCGTCGTGCGAGGAAGGTGTTCATCAGTGCCCGCTTTCAAAAGCAAATTGGTACCTTTGTGTGGAAGGTTGACCTGTTGGTTGACTGGGCGTGCGTCCTCCAAGCTTGCATGACGGTCGCACATGCCAACAGATAGTGATTTCATGTGTTCTGCTTCGTGGCTTCCTTGTTGTAGCCGAACAATAGCAGACTCCTCGGACTGGACCGTCAGATCCTGAGACCTGGTTCCTTTGGTATCCAGTTGAGAGTTCTCAACGACGCTCTGAAGGAAGGCAGTTGCCTCTTCTTTTATCGATCGTTTGCTGCTAGCTTTGGACGAATCGCTCTCAGCAGAGCTTGACTTCCTGTCATGAGATGGTAAGGAAACTCGAATAGGGTTGGAAGCCTGAATTTCCGCAGTGCCTGAAATCTGTGCCCGATCTGAACTAGAGATCTTTCTCAGAAGCTTTTGGCGAACGACCTCTAAAAGTTCTGCATTGGCTTGAACGGGGTCGTGACTGGTATAATTGACCTGGGCTTGGCCGAAATACGCATTCTCAATCGGGAGGGCCGTCCTATGAACGTCTCTCTGGGTATAATGGTAGTCCGGAGCCTCCAGCGACCCATATCCTGACTGATCATATCCATTGTCGATGCCGCCATGCGGGAGCTCGATGTACGACTCCTTTATGTACTGATGATCAGAGACGGGGCATTGCTCGTAGGAGACAACGCGAGTGTTGTTGGGCGCCGCGCACGGTTCTGCAGGCCAAATACCATGTTCGGATTGCAAGAAGTTCTGATGTTTGAAGAAAAGCCCATCTGATACGCTGCGATAATCGTGGCGGAGACACTGAAGATAGGAAGGATCGTAGCCGTCGCAGTAGCTTAACGGGTTCTGCTGAACATGACCATCAGCCTTTTCATGCCAGAGGTGCTCTTTCGCTTCATATGCGTATGTCGGATAGTATGCTTCCGAACGAATACGGGAGCGTTGCAATATTTCAGTTTGTTGACCCTCGTGGTGACCTGCCTCGATATAAGAGCGGTGCATTGGAGTAAGGCGAGCCCGAGGCTTGCGTTGTGCGACAACAACGGATTCAGTGTCAGTTGAGATCTCCTTTACATCCTGAATCCGTCTACCACCAATCTGCAGGGGCTTCAGTGGCTTTGTGACCTTGCCACGCAAGCTTGCTCTGTTCCAGAGCTCACTCAATGCAACCGGTCGAGAGGAAGCGATGTCATCGAGACTGTGCAGCTCATGCTGTACGTCCATGTTTATGCCATCTCCTGTAGCAGCTCTGGCTAGAACCGGCTTACTCTGATGACTGCGAGACAGTATCTGACTCATCATGGTTGGCTTGCTGTGAGAGTTTCCGACTAGAAGCAGTGGAATGCACGTCGCGAGGATGTTGATG